CCATTGTACCTCATTATTTTTGAGAAAGTAAAACTCATGTCCACTCTTGGTTACATTTAGCTTTTTTTTTTTTACTCCATGTGGACATATTTTTAAAATAACTCTGAATAGTATACTGCTTCTGTAGCTTGTGCAGTCACATAAAACACTCCCTCTGCTGGAAAAAAGAGACTTCCCAATACTAGAGCCAGGCTGAATTCTAAGAAATGCTGTCTCTTCCTAAAGCCTTACCTGAGCCTTAAATCAGCCAGCTAGGAGTAGTTCATTCCTCTTCTTCTGTCTATTCCTATGATGTTTTACTCATGTGTATTTCAAAGTACTTATCATTTTATAGTGTAATGGATAATTTGAATTAGAATGACTCAATTTTTCCTTAAGGTACTAAGGGGTAAAGAAGATCAATGGACATTTCATATATTTATAAAATATTAATATATTATATATAAAATATTCCTGATACACATGAACACATATGAAGACATCATAATGAAACCTACCAAAGACTGGAAAAGAGAGGAAGGGAGAAGGGTATGAGAATGTAGTGGAAAGATTTACTTAAATTACACTGTATACATGTTTATAGAATTGTCATAATGAGTCCCCTTGTGTGCTTGGTATATGTTAAATAAAAATAAAATTAAGAAAGCAATCCACTTAATAAAACTTTTACTTTAAAAGGGAAAACTGAGGCCTGGAAAGAGGGGACATTAGTTTAACATATTTTACTTTCCCATAAAATGTAGTCCTTAATAATTTGTGTCCTTGGTTTTGTTCTACTAGCATGACTGAAAGGGACGTTATGGAGCATTTACTTTTGAGTTTTGATCTTTAAATTAGGCTTAGCCTTCACATCTCAACTCTGAAATTTATTTATTTATTTATTTAAAATGAGTTTTTTATTGTGAAAATACTGTACAGAGAGGTTACAATTACATGAGCAAGGTAATGAGTACATTTCTTATCAAGCATTGTTGCCTCCTCCTTTGTTTTTCTCCTACCCTCCCTTCCCTCCCATCTCTACAACTACCCTACCCCCACACCTAAATTGTAAAGTTCGTTTTTAAACATGGCATCTTGTACATCTCATTGTTGCAATGGATCAGCCTGTATCCCTATTTAAACAATTTGTTTTTTCCCTTCCATTCCCAAGATTATACTAACATCAAATACAGTGAAAACAGGGGTTATACCGTGGGGGAGGGACATACAAAGCAACACAAAAATCACGTGGTACCTTATAAATATGTTAGAAACAATAGCAAGCAAGAAAAAACCACTTGTGTCCTTATCTTGGGGTTCATTTCACTTAACATCATCTTATCTGACCTTTTCTGCTTCTCTCAGACATATACTAGTTATCGCAAATAAGGGAAACCATGGGACCTATGTTTCTTTGGGCCTGGCTTACTTCACTTAATATAATTTTTTCCAAGTCTTTCCATTTCCTAAAAATTGGGGCAATGTCATTCTTTCTCATGGAGGCATAGAATTCCATTGTATATATACACCACATATTCTTGATCCATTCATCTACTGAGGGGCATCTGGGTTGGTTCCGTATATTAGCTATGGTCAATAATGCTGCAATAACATATCAATTCTGTCTAAGTTGGCTAAGACATTTGCCTTTCAGACACTTATTTCCCTCCTAAATAGTAATTATTAAGGTAGTTGTGAAAATCAAGTAAGATTGTGTATTGAAAATGCCTGGAACATCATAGGTACTCAATAAATGTTTGTCAGGAGAGTATTAGGAAAAGACTTATATTTAGCAGAACTGAGGATTGAACTCAGAGCCTTGCACATGCTAGGCAAGCACTTACTGTACGGACTAATGAACTACATTCTCAGTTCTTAAATAGCATGTCTAATAATGAAATTTATAGATTGATGATAGTCTACAGGACTTCCTAAAAAATAATCACAGGTAAAGAATGATATTCATTGTCATTGCTCTCTGATGTATCTTTCCATACAATGATTCATTTGTAGAAGCATCCCGTGACACTTTCTGTGGATTGACTGAGTATTAATAATGGCTCCCAAATCAGAAAGATAGTTCTTTAAAGATTTGCTCTTGGAATGTACTCATTATCTTACTTATATAGCTGAAATCCCTCTGTACATCACCTTGACAATAAAAAATAATATGGAGCTATCAGGGTTTTTAAAATTTACTTTTATTGTCAAGGTGATGTACAGAGGGGTTATAACTGGGTTCTAAAGAATATTAAATATTAGCTGGGCGCCGGTGACTCATGTTTGTAATCCTAACTACTCAAGAGGCTGAGATCCGAGGATCGCAGTTCAAAGCCAGCCCCTGCAGGAAAGTCCATGGGACTCATCTCCAATAAACCACTAGAAAACCAGAAGTGGTGCTGTGGTAGAGCACTTGCCTTGAGCTGAAGAGCGCAGGGACAGCGCCCAAGCCCAGAGTTCAAATCCCATGACCAACCAAAAAAAAAGAATATTGAATATTGAATCAAGCCAAATTTTGATCAAGGCAAAACATACTCTGTGTTTGTGTGTGTGGCAGATACATGCAAACGTAAGTACATGTAGACAGCATATTAGGTAGAGGAACAGAATGTGCATAGCTCTTATGGTGGAAAGGTCCATGGTATGTTATACATAAGACAATATTTTGGAAATGATCTATACAATTTGGGGGGGGTGTTGAGGTGGAGGGAAAGTAGGAGAAAAATGAGGGAAAGGGCAATAATTTTGACAATAAATATACTTATTACCTTACTTATGTAACTTTAACCCCTTTGTCCATCACCTTGAAAATAAACAAAATACCTAGAAAAAAAGAATAAAAAGAATATTTCAGTAGCTGGATTTTCCATTTTAATTAAAAAATTGAACCAGAGTTTTGCATATTGAAGTTTGAGAATGCAGTGTACCCAGCTCTAAAATATGAGTAGGCTAAATCATACATATTGGAAATTATAGCCATTATAGGTAACATGCACAAATCACTATCAAGCTAAAAACAAATACACCTGTACTGTTTAGCCAATAATCTAGAAAAGAGAACTGGCAGATGAAAATATGTGAAATGCAAATCTTCTTTCCATTGTTTTTGCTTAGCAGTTGTATATGAGATGTAGAGATGACTTATCAGACAACTACTTGGTTGAGTCAACTTGAGTGTACTAGAGTGAGTCTGGGAAGGGATATAGTTGGGGCCAAGTCCTGAATAGTATTCTGTGGTAGATATGAATTGGTGAGTAAGAAGAGAAACAGTGTTTGGGGAAAAAAGACAACATGATGGAGATTTCATAGTGGAAAGAGTATTTCCAAGTTGGGAAATTTGGTATAAATTAGGCTAACCTAAATAAAAGAGTAAACAAACCTAACTTGGGGCCTCTTTAGATTCTTCATATGGTACATCAAGTAACCACTTAAAACAAGGAAAACCAAGTCACAGGGAACTATGTGAACAGAAGCAGTTAATGTTTTGATTGAATATAGCCTTTAAAAAATAAATTTTCCAGGCTGGGAAGGTGGCTCAGTGGTAGAGTGCTTGCCTTGCATGCATGAGGCCCTGGGTTCGATTCCTCAGCACCACATAAGAAGAAAAAAGCCAGAAATGGCGCTATGACTCGAGTGCTAGAGCACTAGCCTTGAGCTAAAGAGCTAGGGACAGTGCCCAGGCCCAGAGTTCAGGCCCCATGACCGGCCAAAACAAACAAACAAAAAATAAATTTTCCTAAATACCAGTCTTGGCATCTTCAACTTGGAATAGTCAAGACTAGCTTCTGCAAGACTGTGAGGCAGGTCAAGGTTATTTCCTCCTCTTTTCAATACTTTTCTTGCAATTTTGCATAATTTAGGCACCTGCTACAACTTCAGAGTCCTGTTTGCTAAAGCACTTTATTTTTTCAGTTAGTTACTCCAATACCTCATGAAATAATAGCTCTTCTTGTTTCTCTTGGCATTAACATCTTCTGAAAACTACAAATGACTGAAAACTATAAATTCTCCAAACAAAGGAATCTATCTGTAATAAACTGGCAAGTGGTGGGGTAAATAGATTTATGTATGTGACATTTTCCATTACATTTTAAACTGGAAGTTTCCCCTTGGAAGTTTCATTTTTTATTCAAATGCATATTTCCCTCCTGCATGTTGAAAGGCTAGGTCAGAACAGATAAAGAGGGAAGGGATTTGATTTTGCATGTTATACTTCCTCATGATGCAATACATAGCCTTTGAAAGTAATCCCTTCACGGTAGTTAAAAGTTTGGAGTCACATGGTGCTGGTGGCTTATGCCTATAATCCTAGCTACTCAGAAGGCTGAGATCCCAAGACTGTGGTTCAAAGCCAACCCAGGTAGGAAAGTCCATGAAACTCTTATCTCCAATAAACCACCAGAAAACTGGAAGTGAAGCTTTGTCTCAAGTGGCAAAGCACTAACCTTGGGCTGAAGAGCTGAGGGACAGCACTCAGGCCCAGAGTTCAAGCCCTACACCCTACAAGAAAAACTGAAGTCATCATGTACAGGGATTATATCCTGATTCTATAATTTTCTAAATGTGTGATTAAAAAATAATTAGGTTAACCTCTGCCTTGGTTGCCTCATCTTTTATCAGACAAGAATAAAAAGTACCTGTCTCGTGTAGTTTCTCTGATGATCAATGAGGTGTATGCAAAAAGAGCTTAGCATATGTTTGACACTTGATCAATTGTTCTTATCATCATTGTAATTAGCATTGTCACACCATCACCACCCAAAGCACCCCCAGTTACTCCTGTGACATGAAAATAAAATCTTATAACCGCTTGCTGAAATAGAGATCAACAGCCAGCAAAGGAAGAAAGGGAAAAATACAAAATTTAATTCCTTCTACTATTTTCTCTTCTTAGTCTAACCATGATATTCCCAGGAGAGTGTATAAAGATTGCACTTCAAGAATTATTGCTATAGTCTGCTGCCAAAGACAATGTATGAGAAAACAAACCTACCCTCATGTCTCTGTTCTTGTTTACACAGGTACTTGTCGGCTTGGTTGGGCCTATTACTGTGCTGGAGGTGGAGCAGCAGCAGCCATGTTGATCTGCACATGGCTTTCATGCTTTGCTGGAAGAAAGCCAAAGCCTATTGTGTTGGTGGAGAGCATCATGAGAAATACCAATTCTTATGCCATGGAGCTTGACCACTGTCTCAAACCCTGATCTTTGAAAGGAGATTGATTAGCAAGGATGGGAAAGGGAAATGAATGGAGTTCTGAAAGAGGTCTAAGCCTCAATTAGTTGGCACCTATCTACCAGTAGTATAGCTTAGAGTTTGCATGCTTTTTAAACACCTTCCCATAAACCAGTGCATCAGTGGTTATTTAAAACTCATCTAGAAGAATTATTCTCTCATTTACTCCATAAGAGTGTTCACAGACACCCAAGTCCCAATATGCTGCGTTAGGCAAAATAAGATCCTTACTTGAAAAGTAACTACACAACTAAGCAGCTCTTCAGAGTTCTACAGCTCACCTTTCCTGCTTGGTTTGAAACTTAAAAGCTAAGCACTGTTGTATAGCGAAGGACCGAGAAATGAACAGGGCTCATCCCTACCATATTTATAAAGCCCTAATTGTGGTATTTATTGCCATCCCCAAACATATCTGGAATACCACTGCTGGAAGTGTGTGACTTTTTCAGAACTATACCTTCTGCTTTTCTTCCTTTGCAGTTATGGGAAAGCTTGGTGGGAGGATAGCACCCAGTGATGAAAACAGGAATAAAAGATGCCTGTATACAGTCTGGGACCTCTTCTGCATTATGACTTAGAATATTCATATGAGTTCATTCTCTTCTGTCTGGGTGATTGGTATCACTATATAGTGGCAAGTAAGTATTCCCTGATCCACTGTAGATGCAGGAATGGACTCCATCAAATGTTTGAGAAGAGACTAACGTTTATCAGGCACCCAATAAATAAGAATTTACAATGATAATGACAAGGATATGTCTGCTGGATTCGTACTGAAATTTCTATCAGAGTTCTTTATAATTGACAATGAAATCTGCAGTGGCATTTTGCCTCTGTAGTCACCCTTAGCATGATGCAAGTTACTCTGCCTGTTTCTATAACTGCTTATCAAATGATTTCTTTTCCATCTGGGATGAGTTAGACATGAAAGAACACAGTACTGATGTCACCTAGGGCTGAAGTATTTTTAGTCTGGCCTGCATCCCATCTGTGTTCAAGGCTGATTGATAGTGTAGAATAACTTGGTGTCTCCTGGGGGCAAAATTAGTTTCACTCCCCCCTCCATTTAATTCAGGACAGTTCTATTGTTCCATAACCACAGCTTTATGGACTGAGAAGAGCTTGTGAATCCAAAGATCACCTCATCTGTTTCTATTCCTAATCATTTCAACATGATTTAGTTACAGTCATACCTAGGGAGAGAAATTGAAAAAATGGCTTGGTGAGTTGTACAGCATCAAAGTTCTTATAAAGATCTTACATACGTAAGCCAACTTGATACTCTATCCAATTCATGGTTCATTCATTTATTTTGTCATTCATTCTGGAAATATCTTGAGTATCCTTCTATATACTGCATTCTGTGCTAAATACTGGGACTAAATGAAAACACAGTTTCTAACCCTAAAAGTAATACTATTGGTGTATTAACAAGCATGTCAATAGATATTTGCCAGTGTGTACAGTGTTAGGAAAGTGATCATATAATGGAGCCATGAAAACAATTTGGAGGTAAGGTCCATATGGAAAGATGTCTAGAAAAGCTAGTACATAAGCTGGGTCTGATAGATGAGTAGGGGGAGTTAAACAGCACTAGATATGCAGAAATAGGACATTGGGACAGCATATGGATGACAAACAGATTTTAAAAGGGAGGTGACAAAAGTTGAAACTGAAAAGGCAAGTAAGAGCCAAATTCTGTGGAACTATATACTCAGGACAAGGAGTCTGAGTTTTATCCTAAAACATGGCCATTGAAGGGGAAAGGATATGATCCTTTTTGTTAAGAGACATGATGTCATTTGCATTTTCCAAAGATTTATTTGGCTACAATAATATGAATGGAAGAAAATTTGGAGATTTTTGGAATATTTTAATAATCTAAATATAAAAAGATCAAGCTTGAATTCAGTAGTGACTGTGGAGGTAAGGTACATGAATGAATTTGAATTAATATGCAGGTTGAGTTGGCCACAATGGGTCTATAATCCTAGCCACTGTAGAGGTGGCAATGACGAGGATCTCATGGGCAAAATCATTTAAGACTCTTATCTCACCCAATGAAAAGCACCCAATGAAAAGCTGAGTACAGGCAGCTATCATCCTAACTGTAAGGAAAATTGAGACTAGGAGAATCTCATCAGAAATAGCTGGTGTCACTATCATCCCAGCTATTGTGGGAAGCATAAATAGAAGGATAATAGTCCAATCTAACCAGAGCAAATGTGAGATTTTATCTTTAAATTAACCAGACTAACAAGGTGCCAGTGGCTCATGCCTGTAATCCTAGCTACTAAAAAGGCTAAGATATGAAGATAACAGTTTGAAGCCAGGCTGGGCAAGAAAGTTCATGAGAGTCTTAGCTCTAATAAACTACACAGAAAAAGCAGGAAGTAGAGCTGTGACTCAAGTGGTAAAGCACTAGCTTTGAGCACAAAGCTCAGAGACAGCATCCAGGCCCTGAGTTCAAATCCCTGGACCAGCACACACATACACAAACACACACACACAATCACACACACCACAATACGAGAGTGAAAAAGGCTGGAAGCATAACTCAAGTGGTAGAATGCTTGTTTAGCAAACATGAAGCTCTGAGTTCAAACTCCAGTACTGCCAGAAAAAATAAGATTTAAATTGAGCATTCCTAATTTGAAAATCTAAAATCCAAAATGTTCCAAAATTCAGTCATTTAGATGTCATACTAGTTCTCAAAAGGTTTTAGGGAAATACATATTTTGGATTTTTAAATTAGAGATGCTCAAGTTGTAGAGTTGACACAAATGCTCTAAAATCTGAAAAATATGAATCACTCTGGCCCCACGCATTTTGGATAATGGATACTACACTTGCATTTTGGAAATCAGTATCACAATGCCTAGTAGACGTATTGTATGTACATTGGCAAGAGAAATTTTGGGAGTAACACTCTGGAGTTTGGGTAGATACTGTCACTAATATGGAAAACACAAGAAGAGCTGTTGATAGTTGGAAACATGATTAGTAGAAATGATCAACTGTATAAAGTAACATGAGTCAAATAAACCCTAGTTTGAGGAAGCAATGTAATGAAGTTTGCAGCAATTCTTTTTTCTCACATATGTGAAGAAAAATGGCAGAAACAAAAATGTAGTTGACTAAAATCTCACCTTTATTGTACACAGAAATGTAGCCTTGATTTAGAAAAGTGATGTATGGAAAATTTTCAGATGGTTAGGAAAAGACAGATGAGTCTCTTTAGAAAAGACAATTTCATCAGTTAGATCATTTTCATTTTGGGGGCTAAGGAAACTTATGAAATTGTGTGGAATAGAATTTGGGGAATTGAGTGCATATATTGGAGTCCTGGCAGGAATTTGGTATCCTTAAGTCGTTTGGCTGAAATGAACCATTTGTGGTGCTGTGTATAGGGTTAGGGGAATCTACAAGTGATGTTTAGGCATAAAAAGCCTATGAATCATGGGGAGCAAATGCAATCTCTCCCCAGCATCCATCAGCACACATATACCTCCCCTATAACCATTATCCCAGGTCCTTTGTAGCCTTCACTAGGGGTTACTTGCCATGGGCCCAATTCTCATGTGCCACCCTACAACCTACCCCAATCCATTTCCCCAATCCCCCTGTAGCCTGCAACAAGGAAACTTGCTGAATGGGCCAGTGCAACCCACCCTTAACCATTTTCCAGGTCCTCTGTAGTCTGCATCACGGTCATGTCATGATGGGTCCAGTTCCCACTGTTCCCCTTATGCCCCACCCTTCTCCATTTTCTCAGGTTGTCTGATATCTGCATCACGGGCAGTTAACAATGGACTCATTCCCTACCAACCACCCTACACCCCATTCCTATTCATTTCCCTAGGTTCCTTGTAGCCTGCATCATGGATAATGATGGGGGCAATCTCCACTGGCCCTTATACACTCTACCCCTATTATCCATCTCCACAGGTGCGCTGTAACCTGCACCAGGGGCAACTTGGAATAGGGCCAGCCCCCACCAATCCACCTCCACACAGGGTGCCCTGTCCTTACCAACTCTTGGTCCCTCAAAAGCACTATTACCCACAGCTACTGGGAGTAATTTTTAATGTTCTATATTACAGTAAGATAACTATGATTGAGAACAGTTACTTTATTTAGCAAAGCTAGTGGATAGGATTTTGAATGTTCTTAGCATAAAGAAATTATGTACTTTTTTGTGCTAGTCCTGGGGCTTGAACTCAGGGTCTGGGCACCGTCTGTTACTTTTCTGCTCAAGGCTAATGCTCTACCATTTGAGCCACAGCTCTGCTTCAAACTTTATGGGTAGTTAGTAGAGACAAGGGGCTCACAGACTTTCTTTCCAGGCTGGCTTTGAATCATGATCCCCAGATTTCAATCTCCTATGTAGTAAGGATTTCAGGTGTGAGTCACCAATGCCCAGCTTGATGTACATTTAAGATTTCAGATCCTACACATTACATGTATTCATTAACTATCACACTGTACTCATATAGAATTATTATGAACTATTAAAAGTACATTAAATATTTTTGTAAAAAAATAGTGTACTTGGACCACCAATGGCATTCTTGTTGTTCAGCAGCACAGTGCCTCTATTCCCACATGTGCTGCTGCTTTGGCCTTTTCCCACATGGGCCCAGAGTTTGACTTCATTACTGGAAGCAGTGCCTCCCCACCAATGAAACCATCCATAGATGATCATAAGGTGATGCATACAATGCTACCTTCACAGCCATCAATCTTTCCATATCCTCCACTGTTGACTAACAACCAATCTTCTTTGAATCAAATGCCTCTTGCTTCTGACCATACAGTGGCATTATTTTTACCATTCAAGACTGGAACAGTTTGTGCAGTCCCAACGCATGCAGGGACCAAGTGCCAATACTGAATATCTATCCGGTATAGGAGCCATTCCTCACCCCACATTAAGGAACTTTAATGGACAGTATTCTGACAATTGCTC